GTTAGGAACTTGAGAAATAATAGTCAATGACGCAGCAAATCTAGTTGTGATGGTGGGTACTTCAAATGTCCGAATCTCGACTGACGTTCTCAACACCGTTCTGTCAGACTTGCCACTGCTACTCCTACTTATTATCTATGGGAGAGTCCATTACCAAAGAATAGGTACTATGGTACAACATTAATATATATATATATATATATATATATATATATATATATATATATATATATAACTTTGTAGATGACGTTACTTTCAGCTCACTCCAATTCCCATTCCGACACTCCAAACGCTATCAGAGACGGAAAGTGAATAAGGAGAGAGGATGACGGATGCTGAGCAAAAAATCTTCACATGTCCAGCTCCGATCTCTCTTATTGAGGAGGTTTCCCTGCTCGGGGAACGTCCCAATTTAAAATCATTTTCCAAGTAAAATCCTTAAGACGTTGCATTTCGCATTTGCGCTGTAATCTACCATTCGACGACAGGGGATTTACTGTATTCATCTTTCTGTTCCCATATGTATTTGAACAGCGTCGTGCTTTTTTAGTATTGTATACTATTGAAAGGGCTTTCCAAGGACGTTCGGCTACTCTTAAATAGAGCGTTTTAGGATCGCTGTCCGTTTTTAACGCAGCTAAGGATATAGTTTTTTTTCTTTTTTCTGTAGACATCTGCCCCGATTGGATAATCTTATTTGCGCCTACAGTTACAGGCGAGAGTACTATTTACACTGGTCTTACACAACACTTTATAATTATGTTTCTTTATTAACTGGTCATATTATCTATACAGATGTTATTCAGTTTAATTGAATTCTTATTGAATATATATATATATATATATATATATATATATATATATATATATATATATATATATATATATAAAGAACAACAGTAAGATATATAATCCGGTGTTCTTATAAATATTTTTGTTTTTACAAAATAGTGCTCAATGTAAATAAACCCTATTTTAAATCAATTAATTTATATATATATATATATATATATATATATATATATATATATATATAAACCTAGAGCCAGACAAACCTACCAATGTTTCACCTAAGCCGATCGTCAGGGAATGCTAGTTCCCTGATGATCCGCTTAGATGAAACCTTGGTAGGTTTGTTTGGCTCTAGGTTTAACTAGGTCTGCTCTACTCATTGTATTGAGCACTTTATTTAGTTATTTTGGATACTCGCATTGGGTTTTTTTTATCTTTGGCCCTTGAACTCGTATGCTGGACGATTATTTTCGGCTAACGTACATGTTCTTGGTTCTTTCTTTTTTTATACCTTTTTTTCCCTTTGGTATTGGCTTGTTTATTTGCAAATCAATACACTTAATGTTTTCCGAGCGAGTATAGTTTCTTATATATATATAATTATTTATTTAAAAATATGATTTCAACTCGCGACATAAGAGGTCTCATGTTTCAAAATAAGAGCCGAAAACTTCAATATAATTATTTGAATTAAATTGGGTTAAAGTAAGCTCTGTTCCATCTTCAAGCGAAATTTTTTTTTGGAATAGCGTATTTCTGAAATTTACGTGTTTTAATAATTGAAATCAAATTTTCTATGGTAACAGCTAGGGCGAAAGGTTTAAATTGGGTAGGCGTGTGTTGGGTGTTAATAATAAGTATCAGTATAGAGTTACTTTCATAGATGTCAAGTCAGGGTAAGGTGGGGTTACCTAACCAGTTTTCCTATTTTCTATATATTTTCACACATATATATATATATATGTGTGTGTGTGTGTGTGTGTGTGTGTGTGTGTGTGTGTGTGTGTGTGTGTGTGTGTGTGTGTGTGTATAGATGGAGAGAGACTATGTGCCCTTTTGGGAAGTGCTTTTCAGTTAAATTAATAATTAGTTGACCTACTCTGGCTGTTTTATTAAGGGAGGAGAATGTAACTGAATTCATTTTAAGCGTGGTGCGATCACCTTGAAACTTTTAGTTATGCGTATGCAACATTTGATTGTTTGTCACGTGGTGATTGATTTTTGTATGAACTAAATAACGTAAGTGACAAGTTAACCTAGAGGGTAGTGTGGTGCATGTATGCCCAATGTACGAATTTAATGTATTTTTTAAATTATTATTTTTATTGATTTTATAGATACAATCTTTACAGGGACATGAAAATTAATAAACAACATTATTTTTGCATATGGGAGACTTTTTAGGGTGAATCTTCATCGTTAATTTATGAAAACTATTGAATCTAAATATAAATACCTATTGAATTTTTATGTGTACGATATATATATATATATATATATAAATGAATATAGATAATATATAATCTCGATAGCACGACTCATGTAGTTCTTTCAATCTTCAGATGCATATATATATATATATATATATATATATATATATATATATATATATATATATATATTAGGGTCAAACGTTTGAGCCTTTTATAATATATTCTTGCTCTGTCGTGGACATTGAGCTCTACCTGGATTCTATCCACTTGAAAAATTTATATATATATATATATATATATATATATATATATATATGTATGTGTGTGTGTGTGTGTGTGTGTGTGTGTGTGTGTGTGTGTGTGTGTGTTGACTTGCAAAAGTAAAAAAGCTTCATGCAGAACTCAATATAACCTTTCCAAAGCAGAAACTATGATCTGGAATTGGGATGAAAGAAGTGATGTTACCTAACCTGAGTCCATCAGAAACAGTCAGGGTGTTGATTTAGTAAATACTAAACACTTCAAACACCTCAGTGTAGGGGTGATTTATAATAAATTTAGTATAGATGATAGGGAAATTGAACACCGAATAGGCTGCTCTAGAGATAGTTTGAAATGTAAAATGATGAGACCTTGTCTTGGTGTATGGATCAATTATGACAAATTTAGTAGAGAAGAAAAGGAAATTAAACTCGGAATAGGCTGCTCTGGAGGTAGTTTGAAATGTAAAATGATAAGACCTTGCCTTGGTGTATGGATCAATTATGACAAATTTATTATAGAAGAAAAGGAAATTGAACCTAGAATAGGCTGCTCTAGCAATAGATTTGAACTGTAAAATAATGAGATCTTGCCTTGGCGTATGGATTAATTATAACAAATTTAGTAGAGAAGGTAAGGAAACTGAACATAGAATAGACTGTGCTAAGGATAGTTTCTCTCAATACCACAAATTGCTACAAATTCTAAAACATTAACCTGAAAACTCGAGTCATGTTCTATAATAGCCTCACCAGATCAAAACTTTCATATGGATATCATGCATGGCACCACACCCGTTCAGAAATATCTAAACTGTCAGTTGTATACAATCGCTTTCTCAGGTCAGTAGTTAAAAATAGTTTTGAGCGAGTGAAGGCTTTGGGTTTTGACAAAGTCCACATTTCATAGAACTGAGTGGACTAGAGCTACAAAATCATAAACAACGAACTGTACCAAAACACAGAAACCACATCATTTGAGGATTTTAAACAACATCAACAATTAAAATAGATACCGCATGTAATTCGAAGAGAAAATAATGACGTAAGCAAGATGTTGACGTTCCACAATACTTCAGCCCCATTATTACTGGAAAGAGAAGTAATTGTTGGTTGACTTGAGAAATCTATTTTCCTGAAAAATTGTTTGAAGAGAAAGACTTCATAAATTTCAGCTGACAGCAATACTGGCTGCTCGGTTAATGAATGATGAATGTTTTCTTATAAAGTGTTATGGTCCGGTTCCTTGTACCACGGTAATAGTCCAAGGTAGAACCAATAAAGAAGAACTCGAACACAGGTATGGAATAACACAGATATATTACAAACAGGAATATATACAGAGAAGTAGAAGTGTTAGTATGAACAATCAGGTTTAGTAGAGAGAACAATGTAGTCTCGACCAGTATCACTATTCCAATGTCTTGCAGTAATTGTCTGAACGCGACTCTGTTTCGGACTGCCTCTGACTCGACTCTTGACTCGACTTGAACTACTGACTCCTGAGGCGCAGTATTTATTAAGTATGGAATAGTCTATTATTATTATTATGGGTAAGATTCCATAACATAAAGAAACAACTAATATTACCATAATGTCATTGTTTGATCCATGCTAACAAAGCTTCATATATGTGAGGATGTATCAAGCAATGGCGTTTCTTGTAATCAAATTGTAGACATCATATATACTATGTCAGATTTATAAGTTTTTCATGAGAAAATTATGCAGGAGCCATAGCGTAGGGTAATGGTTAACGATCCTAGTCTTGATTATCATTATTAGTCTTCGCTAGAGGCCCCATACAAGTTTCATTTTAATCAATTAAAAAAAAAGTAATCTAGAAGAAGGATTACTGTGATTTCAAAACATAGGAGAATCAACAGGAAACTACTCCACTATCTTTCCCTTGATCAGATTGGGGTCCCTCATTTAGTATTCATGAAACACTACAATTTTGAATGACACTAAGCAAAAAGCTTCAGTAAATTTCAGCTGGCGACAGAATCGCTACCGATGTGCCGGTAATTGTGTATAAATGAATTCACAGATGCATAAATGTGCATTGGCGTGTTGGAGGTGGGGAGTAAAGGAGGGCAGTTTTTCAGTTGGAAGCATTAACTGTTTTCCGCTATGCCAACCATTGGGTTGTAGCAGCCGGAATTAGTTACCAAAAATAAAAGAGAGATGATAAAGCAAAGAAAGAAAGAAAGAAACAAACAAACAAACAAGCGAAAGAAAGAAAGAAACAAACAAACAAACAAACAAACAAAGAACGAAAGTAAAACGAAACAAAGAAAAAAAAAGAAAAGAAAACAAACAAAAGAAAGAAAGAAAGGAAAAAGAATCAAGGAAACAATAAAAGAAATAAAGAATAAATGCATGAATGAAAGTAAGAAAAATAAACAAACGAAAGAATCAAATAAACAAAAGAAAGAAAAGAAACAAACAGAAAAACAAACAAACGAATGAAAAAACAAGCAAACAACAGAAAGAGAGAAAGAAAGAAAAATAATCAAAAGAAAGAAACAAATAAACCAAAGAAAGAAAAAAAGAAAGAAAGACTAAACAATCGAAATAAAGAAACAAGCAAGCAAAAGAAAGAAAGAAAGAAAGAAAGAAAAGAAAAATAAACAAAAGAAAGAAAGAAATAAACAAAAGAAAGAAATAAAGAAAGAAAGACTAAACAAACGAAATAAAGAAACAAGCAGGCAAAAGAAAGAAAGAAAGAAAAATAAACAAAAGAAAGAAAGAAATAAACAAAAGAAAGAAATAAAGAAAGAAAGACTAAACAATCGAAATAAAGAAACAAGCAAGCAAAAGAAAGAAAGAAAGAAAGAAAGAAAGAAAGAAAAGAAAAATAAACAAAAGAAAGAAAGAAATAAACAAAAGAAAGAAATAAAGAAAGAAAGACTAAACAAACGAAATAAAGAAACAAGCAAGCAAAAGAAAGAAAAAGCAAAAAAGAATGAAACAGAAAGCAAACAAAAGAAAGAAATGATGAAAGAAAAGGGAAGAAAGATTAAGAGAACTGAGAGAGGAGATAATAGTTGTATGAGGAAGAAAATGAAACAATAGTATACAGTTGATCTTTTCTTTCTTTCCGTTTATTTTTTGCATTATGTTAGAAATATTTTGGCAAAAGACAAAGAATTCTTGTGGTTTGATGTCTATATTCAGATTATATCGTAATTGATATGAATCTAACGGAGATCTATATCAATACATATGCCACATCGCGCAAACGTAAGCTTCCGTGAACAAGACTGACCTTTTTGGTATATACAACAAAACTAGGCAAAATGTCTCGCTTCTTAATATCACCAACTAACGAACACACACACATAGGTGTACTAGGGCAAGTTGCTTTTCACACTTTTAGAAAATCAACATGACACTTAGAGTAAAAGGTGATGTTTCAGGTGATAAAAGGTGACACCAAGAATTAGATTCGTATCTCTTACCAATGTTTGAGCATTTAGCTTTAAATATCGTCTCCAAAAAATAAGAAATATCTCATTTTCGCAGGTTCTGTCGGATGTAGTCCATTGTCATATCTAGGACCAGGAAGATGTGCTATTACCATTATTATTATTAGTAGTAGTAGTAGTAGCTGGTTGTTTTCGGTCGCACGATTTTCGCTTTCAAGTGAAGGTGATTATTATTATTATTATTATTATTATTATTATTTTCTTTGATTTTTGGCGTTTACACATTTCTTTCCGGTTCCCGCCCAGGGACCTAAGGTTTGAAATAGCATGACACTTTCGACTGACAAAAAAAAAATTACATAGATAAAGCCCTTCGTAAAGTGTGGGCTGTACTTGTCAGTACAATTTTTTGTGTCTCCTTGAGGCATGGACTTCCAGGAATCCCTTCAATTAGTCTACTGCAATCTTTTCCAACCAGTCCTAGTGCTCCAACTACAACAGGGATTGTTGATGTTCCCATATGCCACATTTTCAAGATTTCTATTTCAAGGTCCTTATATTTTGACAGCTTTTTGAATAATTTCAAAGATACATTGCAGTCAGCAGGGACTGCCATATCAATAAGGAGGCACCGTTTTTGTTTGTGGTCTTTAATAACAATATCTGGGCGGTTGGCTTTGATTGTTCTGTCAGTGTGTATTGTGTAGTCCCATATAATTGTAACAGGTCCTATCTCCGTAACCGGGTCTGGTTGGTGTTCATACCAGTTTCTTTCAGTTTCCTTCCCGTAGAAGTTGAAGATTTTCCAGTGCAGATATTGGCCCACTCTGTCATGCCAGGTTTTATGTTCAGTGGGTACCAATATCGTGCAACCTGATACAAGATGATCAATCGTTTCTGGATATTTATCACAGAATCTGCATTTTGGGCTGACACAATATTATAGTATATGTGCTTGATAATTCCTAGTTAGCTAGCATTGATCCTGTGCAGCAAGGATAAAACCTTCAGTTTCAGCTTTCAACCCTGCACTGCGTAGCCACTGATGGGTACGGGTTTTGTCTACGTCACCTTGTTTAGTACGGGCAGAGTATTGGCCATTATTATTATTATTATTATTATTATTATTTGTGTAAGTTATGTTTCCTGATTTGTATCCTGTACACCGGGGTCCAAACAATGTTCCTTAGACCTTTTAGGAGAATTAATATTTAATTGATAGCATTTTTTTTAGTGTATAGGATGTTCCTAGTAGGGCGATCTTCTGGGAAACTTGTATATTGATGTTACTTGGGACACTTTTAATAAAATTTTCTATTCCTTTTCTTACGTGGCCCAGTGCTCCGATTACTATTGGTACAGTCTCAGTCTTCATTCTCCACATCCTGTTAATCTCAATCTCCAGGTCATTGTATTGGGACAATTTCTCAATAATTTTCATGGGTGTATTTCTCTGAGATGGTTACTGCTATGTCAATAAGCATACACTTCCTGAATTTCTTGTCTTTTATGATAATATCAGGTCTGTTGGCTTTCATTTCCCTGTCAGTTTGAACTGGCATCTCCCAGAGGATAGTTACATCATTATTTTGGGTAACTGTGTCTTGTTGGTGCTCATACCATCTCTCGGTGATTTCGATTTTGTGCTTCTTGCATATCTTCCAGTGCACATATATTGCTACCTTATGTCTGTGGGTATATTCATTTCTTACTAGTTCCGGACATCTTGAGATAATATGGTCGAATGTTTCATATTTTCCGCAGATCCTACGAGTTAGTTCCATCCTTGATCTATGATCTGGTTGAGATGTTTTGGTCCTGAGCTACAATTATTAGGCCTTCTGTTTCAGCTTTTCTTCGTCCAGTGATGTGTTTTCTATTATTATTATTATTATTATTATTATTATAACCTAATTGACCGTATCTGTAATAATCAAGATTGAAATAAAAAAGTGAAAGTATACTCATAACTCCTCATCTCAAAAAGCAAGAACTATGCCCATGATTTTAATTTTTTCCGAAAATTTAACACTCACGGGAGATTTTGAGACACAGAGGAAGACAGCGCATGAATTGTTTAACGAGCTTGTGTAAATGTTTGGTAGAACAGAGTTTAAGAGAGACAGCAGAAAGGTAACATTGACTAAGAACTACAAAGGAGAGGAAATTGTGGAGAGCCACAATCGCTCATGTCCTGAAGGCGCTCGGCGCTTAAAAGAATAAAAATGTCTCCTTTACTCATTACCCCATGGAGAAGTTTCTTTTTACTTTTTTCTTAGGATCTTCGCTAACCCACGTTATTCTTATCCATCTCCTTACTATCGACCTTTTCACACAGTGGGCTCGCAAGAGGATATTTAGTCTCATTTACCAAGTCAAATGTGTTATATCTAGTCTCAGGATTTCAGTATTGGTCTGACTTTATCCTAACTACAAGTACTAGCTTAGATGTGGCACAAGGTCGATAGTATGGAGCACCCACTGAGGATCGAACTCACTATTCAGTTATAATTGATTTAGCGAACATACTTGCTAACAACTACACGACATCGAGTGCCCAAATATTTGTCAAGTTATGATCGTTTGAAATTAATGAAAATTCGCACATGTTCTTTTTTAGATAATCACTTCTAGGTAGTTGCTTTTTCTGCCTCTTTTTACATTGAAAGTCATTGAATTTGATGACAATGTAATTGTGAGTTCAATCCCAACAGCGAGCAGTGTGTAATTGGGCTTAGTGGAATGGGGCGATTATTAACTCAGCAGTACTAAAATATAGAAGTAGATGATATCCCTAGACATGGGCAGTGGAACGAGAACAGTCTATACCCGTAGATTAAATAGTGTTCAGTTCAGAATTCCTTGTCGGTGACCTAGATCGATATGCGTCTGAGGAAGACCGTAGGGCACAACGACTGAATCATTTTGATAACGACAACAATATAGTTTCAATAAATCACTAGAATTTTGATGCAATGAATGCTATAAGTGGCAGATTTAACTTGACAGTCCTTTTAAAAAGTCACCTCTGACAAAAGGATTTGGGGGCTCTACAACGCAAAATCCAGTCAAATTAATACCATTTTCTGTCATATATTTTTTTTTTTTTGCTCCTGTTCCTGCCCGAAAAATCGACTGACGCTAACAAAAAATACTCGAGACAATTTTTTCTCCCTTTTAAGTTTGTCTTTCCAAATATTAAAACAATTTCAATCTGCAAAAGGCAAGAAAATTGTTCTCCGGAAAATCTCGTAAAACGTACTGAACACTTTTCAATCGTTAAAATAACCCACTTTTAGCACCATATGCCGAGCACTAAAATCTCGGCGTATCGATCACCTATAACAAATGATGTATAGAAGAAAAAGAAATTGAATATACAATAGGCTATGCCAGGGATCGTTTCGCCCAACACAACAAATTGCTACACAACCAAAACATCAATCTGAAAACTCGAGTCCTGTTCTTAAATAGCCTCGTCAAACCGCGACTTTCATTTGGATACCATGCATGGCGCCAAATCTATTCAGAAACCGCTTCCTAAGATCAATGGTGAAAAAACGGTTTTGAACGAGTAAATCCTGAGGTTCTTAGCAGAGATAACCCTTCTTTGAACATTGTGGACTGGCGCTACAGAATCACAAAGAACTGTACCAAATAAGAGAAACTTCATCACTTGGGGACTGTCAACAGCAACAACTAAAATGGATAACACATGTGAATGGATAAGACGTGTAAATCGGAGATAAAATAATGACATAATCAGGATGTTGTCATTCCAACGACTTCAAATAAAAGGTTAGAAAGGAAACTCCATTCAATACTTGAAAGAACGATAAAAGCTACTGAACTTGAGAAAACTGTTTCCTTAAAATACATAAAATTAAAAAAAGGAGTTTTAACAGAAAGATTTTATAAACCTCAACCGAAAACAATACTGGCTGCTCTTCCAATGAATGTTTTCTTGCAAGGTTAATATTAGCCTTGCTAATATTACCCTTACAATTACCAACACCAAATATCAGTTTTCGCCATAACTTTCCCTGTATCTATCATAAAATCATGATCTAGACCTCTATTCCTTTTGACAGGAGGGGTTGAATCGATTTTTTACATTGAAAATCCCCGAAAAAAACTAAATGTGATAATCGAAAAATGTAAACACTTTTCAGGAATTTAGGCTCTTCACTGCAGAGAGTTTCTAAACCTAAACGGCTATTTTTTAATTAGAAAAGTGAAAGTTTTGTTTTAATCTTCCCCTTAATCCCAAATAACATTAATCCTTTCTTCTTTTATGTGTAATGTCCCTTCAGGGCGTAGGCGATAATGTTTCTCCACTTCCTCCTCCCTCTTGTAGCTTTCAATAAGTTGTTTTTTTCCTACTTCTCCCAGACCCTGTTTTTCCATCCACTTGCTTAAACCCGTTAAGTATGTTACGCGTTGCTTTCTCTTGTCCCCCTTTCCCCTCTATCCGCCCTGTGAGTATCAGATTCTCCAAGCCTCCCTATTACATGTCCTAGAAATTTAAGCTGCCTCTTCCTGGTGTTAACTATAAGTTTCCTCAAACAGTCCTCTTTAAAACATCGTTGCTCACATGTTCGGTCCATCGTATCCTTGGCATCCTTCTACGGAACCATACATCTGTTACCTCGAGTCTCTTCATCTTTGAGAAGACCGTCCAACATTCGC